CTACATCAGGAGCTAGGAGTGATGGCACGCGCCTATAGTTCCAGCTACTTGGGAGGCTGAGGCAGGAGGATAGCTTGCACCCAGAAGCTGGAGGCTGCAATGAGCCATGATCCTGCCATTGCACTCCAGGCTGGCTGGCAGAGTGAGACCCCCATCTCTATAAAAAATAAAAAACTAAAAGAAAAAGGAAATCCTACATCAAAGATGCTCTGTGCTTCTGTTGGGTTTTGTCACCGTGGCTAGCGGTGATAACATGTGCAGTTCCCCCACGGACTTGGGCATCAGGGAAAGACGCCCTAACTCTCTTCCACTGTTGGGACCTCCTCCTGCGGTCTGACTCTGAGCCATCACATCGAGTGACCTGCCCTCCCCCTGGATGAACTAACCACTGACCTTTCAGGTGACCCCACCATGGAGCAGAGGCTGCTGGGATTTCAGAGAACTGGAGCCACTTGAAGGACTGAACAGCCTTCCCTGATATTCGGGGCACTGCATTCCCACTTCTGCTGAACTCTCCGTCTCACTCCACCTGGACTCCAGGGTGGGTCCCTGCTCTCTGCTGCCCCACTGATCTGCACCTGCCCAATTGTTCTAATTCCCCATGACCTGCTGGAGCACACACATGACTGTGGAACCCTGCATTGGCTAGAACATGTCTACAAGAAGACATGGGACATTCACCTGGGCAGTGCCTCCGGCATCTTAATTCAAACAGCAGCCAACACTGGAGTTTGAGAGCAAAGAATGAGGGTAACAGGATTTGGTCTTTTCTGTGCTTATGGGTAGGGCTCTGCCCATTACCATGGTGTCAACTTTGAGCAGGAGTCCCACATGCCACTCCAGGAAGACATCCCTTACACACACAGATGCCATCATCCTCATGGCTCTCAGCAACGTCACATGCACTGATGGCAAACATATCTAACGTCTACATTTCTCACTTTTTAAATTTATTTATTTATTTACTTCGAGATGGAGTCTTGCTCTGTCACCCAGGCTGGAGTGCAGTGGTACAATATCGGTTCACTGCAACCTCTGCTTCCTGAGCTCAAGCAATTCTCCTGCTTCAGCCTCCTGAGTAATTGTGATTACAGGCGCCCACCCCCATGCCTGGCTAATTTTTGTATTTTTAGTAGAGACAGGGTTTCACTATGTTGGCCAGGCTGGTCTTGAACTCCTGACCTCAAATGATCTGCCCGACTTGGCTTCACAAAGTACTGAGATTACAGACGTGTGCCTCTGTGTCCGGCCTAAATTTCTCACTTTTTTAACATAAGTACATCCACTGGTCCTGTATTTTATGACATCTTGTGATCCAACCCACCTTGCACCATGTTCTAGACTGGAGAGGGATGGCAGGTGCCAAGCACAGTGACTCTAGTGTTGGGAATTTCTATTAAGCCCCAAAACTCTGAGGAGAGGGAACACAGGGGTAGGGCTGCAGGAATGTGTGGGGTGCCTGGGTGTTTCCCACCTTGTTCACAGTCTGTCTACCCGGCAAGGGCCAACCAGCTACCTGCACACAAGTGCTGCAGCTGCTAACATTAAAATAAGAGGTATCTGTCTTCACACTGCCTCAAATTGTTGCTCATAGTACACGTCCCACACTGGGAATCAATGGCCCACACTGGGAATCAATGGCCCACACTAAGGATTGTATAATTCATCAGTTGTAGTCCCTTCTTTTACTAATTTTGCAATTTAATTTTTTAAAAAAATGAACTTTCCTTGATATGATCCATCCTTTATATACCTAAGGAATAGGCACTGCTGCTTTAAATTAATTTTGAAGCATGCCACCTGGATGCCACCATCCCCTAAGTCCTTGAAACTGTCTTCTCTTGGAAACAACATGACATTTTAGCTGAACACAAGTGTCTTTTTTTTTCAACTGTAAATGAGCATTTTATGCTCTCCAAAAATCAAAATGATATTTTTACTGTTATGATTTTATGATACTCCTTTATAGGGTAGTCTGCTTTTGTGAAGTTGAAGAAAGCAGTGAAGTGGAAACCTGTAACAAATAGGGCATATTGGAGTTGGGCTGTGTGGTTTAAATTTTCCATTTATTTAATTGGGGAGAAAAGTGTGTGTTTGTTTGGATATCTAATTATTGGGAAAGGAGAGGTTCATTTGTCTGAGTTAATATCCCTTAACCAAGTTAAAAATTAGCATACATCTCTTTAATTATACCTCGAAGTGACAGCATCATGCATCAGCCACTCACTCAGGCCCATTTGCCGCAGTTCTCATCCATCCACCTGATCCTGGAACAGGGACGGGAGGGAGTGTCCTGCCCACCTGCCCCCCACCAAGCCTCCACATGCACACACTGTCCTGTTGCTGGAGGGCCATCCCTGCCCCATTGCTGACTCGACGCCCCCGTGGCCTTGTGTGACCACCCCCCTTCCCACCCATGTGCTCAGCCTCTCTGGCCTTCTGGTGGCCTAAGGAGGCACAGGCATTGCTCCCAAGTCAGACCTTGCACCTGCCCCTGCTCTGCCTGGGCAGATCCCACCTCTGCTCCCCTGCAGTCTTCCACTAATCAATCCCATGTACTAGTTCAGACCCCTCTAGTACACCCTATCCTCGTCCTGACCCCCCACTCCTCATCATTCACTTCCACAGCCTCGCCTCTCTCCTAATTTCACATTCAATGACAACTAGGTGGTCTACTCCATGAAGGCAGAGGCCTGTTCTTCATTATCTCTCGAATTCATGGTGTATCCTTAGTGCTTGTGTGTTGCTGGAGCATAACTGTGTTCAATAATTGCCTACTGAGTGAATGAATGAATGAATGAATGAACAAAAAAATGGCAAATTAGTGAATCCTTGTGAGCGCTACCCTGTGACATTACTGAGCCCATATTTGATCTTCCATGAAGCCAAGCCACATGGAAACACCGTGGACCTGGTGAATGCGCCCCCTGGAGGCTGAGAAGAGAAGGGATTTTTCTGGCTGTAGGAGTCCATGTTAATTTCTAAGCACATCATCTGAGGGTTTCATTCATTTGCTGTTTCATATTATTGCCAAAATCAAATGGTCTGTAGCTTAAATGTCCAACAATCGAGAAATGGTTGAGGAAATAGTAGAATTGCAATGTGCTAAGTTGCTATTTAAAATTATGTTTACACAGAGCTTATAATAACATGAGAAATTGCTTATGATATAATATTAATAAGAAACCAAATAGTCTATGCTGTACAACGTTACATGAAGACTATGATGGCAAACACATTTTTTAAAACTCACAGAATTCTAATATAATGCAAGAAGAAAATAGCAAGAAGGCTGATTGTTTCTGGGTGATGGGTTTAGGTGATGGGTTTGTTTCTTCTTTCTGCTTCTCTGTATTTACCAGATGTTCTACAGTGAGCATTTATTACTTTTATAATATGTAAAAAGAAATCGTAATGCTTTTTCTTCCCAAAGATAAGAGGATCTATAGTTGCCTCTACTCCCACAGCCAGCTTAGAATTGCTATTTTTTGTTTTTCCAAGGATGGCCTCCTGGTGACATCTGTGTCCTGGAGGCCTTCCCATTCCTGGGGGTGGATTTGCACCACAGAGGAGTCCAGCCAACTCACACAGGCTAGCTGGAGGCCCCACATCCCACTGCAGCCACTCCCTTTCTTTTCTTTTGAGGCAGGTCTCGCTGTGTTGCTCAGGCTGGAATGCAGTGGCATGATCATGGCTCACTGCAGCCTCAACCTCCTGGGCTTAATTGATCCTCCCACCTCAGCCTCCCGAGTAGCTGGGACCACAGGTATGCACCACCACGCCCAGCCAAGAGATGAGGTCTCGCCATGTTACCCAGGCTGGTCTCGAAATCCTGAGCTCAAGCAATCCGCCCACCTCAGCCTCCCAAAGTGCTGAGATGTCAGGTGTGAGCCATCACACCCAGCTAACCCCTTTTCCAATGTGCACATGTGCCTGAGTGTGCGGACTGAGTTTTCCCATCAGCTGGGATAGGGGAGGCACTGGCAACAGCTTGTATGTACGTTTTGCCTATTAGTTGTTCAGGCCCTAGTGTGGCACTGCAGCCCACATTTCACTTCCAAGATGTTTAGAAATCAATAACTAATTTATACAGAGTTCTCTTAGAAACAGGTGCTATTTTCCATCTCATTAAAATGCAACTTGAACAGAAGCCATGCCTGCCCCTGGGATTCAACTCTGGTTGGCCTCTCTCACCTGTGGGATAGAGTGTCCAATGGGAGAGGATGAAGAGGGTCTGCAGGCTCCACTCATAGGTGGGAAATGAAAGGCAATTGGGCAGAAAGTCCTGCATGCTTGGCCCAATAGCAAAGCCCCTGTGGTCACAGCCAAGGGACCACTCTGAGCCCAGCATGGTGGCTCTCACTTGGGAATTTTTCAGTGTGCCTCAGTGTGAATTCATTTCAGGAATTAAAGTCACCAGTAATAACTGTGTGTGCGGGTGTGTGTCTAGAAAGGATTTTTCAGCATCCTGCAGGTGCTCTGATAGCCAGAAACACCCAATGCTACGTGGTTATTACTGTTCACATGCCTCCCTACATGCACCTGCTGCATTGATGCCCAGGGAAACCAGCGTATATTCATAGCCTTCCTGCAATGTTTCATTTTTAAAGAAAAATCTTTAAGGTTTTAATAGATTTTATTTAACAGCATGTAGAACATTGCTGTCGTAGGTACAAGATCTCTCTTTAAAGTGCATATTGAAACATCAGTCATTTGAGTTCACAAAGATAGGATACAAATGTTATTAAAATACCATCAAGTTAGAAAAGCACCAATGCATCTACCCCAAAACCCCCAGTGTGCATTTCCTTTGATTTGTTGATATCTCTGAAACAAGCAACTAACTTGCTTTGAGAAGAGACCAGGTAAACAATGATCTTAACCTGGTCCCTGCATCTCTCTCCCCAGGTCCCACCCAGCCCGTAAACCCAGCTCCACTGTCACCTCCTGCCATGTTCTAAATGGAACCAGGGCCTTTGTTCTCTGAACTTCTTTGTTCTCCATCTTCATCTTTAACCTCTGATTCTCCTGAGGGGGGCTATGTGGACCCAGCACATCACTTCTTCTGCTAACATGACACAGTGGGGAAAGGGGTCTCATCCTCAGGGGCCACCCCACTGCTAGTTTCTGGGAAGAGGACAGGAAGGGAAAAACCAATGTTCAGAAAAGAGATGATGAGGCCATCAAGTTGAAGTCAAAACTGAAGGAGGGAGAGGCTGTGAGGTCTTCCTAGAAAGGCATCATAGGGTCACTTTTGAGGGTGCTTGAATGCAACATCAAGGCATCTCTACATCATTCTGCAGGTAACAGGTAGCCATTGATGGTTTCCCACCAGAACAGTAAGGTGATCAGAGCTTCAGTCTCAGAAGATCTTGCAACAAAGACTAGAGCTAGAAGAAACCCCCATTTCCCTCCAGCTAGAAATCGAGTCATCTTACTTTAGATCCTCCTTATTTCTTCTACTCTGTCTGTGTATGAAGACTTCTTTCTCTCTGGCGGCAAGGCTTCTCTGTCCTAATGGGTCTCACCATTCTGCTGGCCTGCCAGCTCCTTACAGGCAGGGTTTGTGCTGAAGATACTTCCCCCTACAAGCGCCTGGGGCAGCAGTTGGGGCCACTGGTGTTGCCTGTCTCTCTACCTTATTTCATAAAGGATTCAGGGTATACTGTTGGTGGTCAATAAATTAGATGAATGCATGGACAAATGAACAAATGAAGGAACAAATGAAGTCTTGCGGGAATGCCAGCACTTACTGTCCCAGCAGGCTCTGCCTCTCTGGCAGCCCATGGAGGCCACAGCTGGACATGCCCTGGAACCTCTGGGTGAGAGACAGGGGGCATTGTAGGCCCAAGAAGGAAGAGATTCCTAGACTGCTGGGACTGGGGGACCCCTTTTAAAACAGAATGTGCCAGCCGGGCGCGGTGGCTCACATCTGTAATCCCAGCACTTTGGGAGGCCGAGGTGGGTGGATCACCTAAGGTCAGGAGTTTGAGGCCAGCCTGGCCAACATGGTGAAACTCTGTCTCTACTAAAAGTACAAAAAATTAGCCAGGCATGGTAGCGGGCACCCGTAATCCCAGCTACTCAGGGGGCTAAGGCAGGAGAATCCACTTGAACCTGGAAAGCGGAGGTTGCAGTGAGCCAAGACTATACCATTGCACTCCAGCCTGGGTGACAGAGTGAGAGTCTGTCTCTAAATAAACAAATAAATAACAGAATGTGCCCACTTGTCAATGGGTGCCAAGTGAGTCTGTCCCACCCACCCTGGTGGCCTGTATTCTTACCGCATCCCTCAACACCCTGGTCATCCTCCCCACCTCTTTCCTTAGAAGCAGCTTATGTGAAGAATATTGCAGCTGAAGGGTGGCACCCTAGTCAGGTCAAACCTCCCTGGATCACTCATCCCAGGACCACACTCCCTTAGAAAAACAGGAGCAGTTTCTGCTTAGACTCAGCCAAAGTCCACGAAGGCCCACTGAGTGGATTCTTTTCCAGCTAAGCCTTTGAACACCAGTCTATCCCACATCCAATACCAACAGAGTGTTTTTTCTGCTCTTCTGAACACCAGTCTACCCCACACCCAACATTGAGACAGTGTTTTTTTCTGCTCCTCTGAACTCCAGTCTATCCAACACCCAAAACCGAGGCAGTGTTTTTTTCTGCTCAAGGTACTTACTCCAGCTAAACTGGACCCTTGGGTGAAAGAGCATTTTTAGAAATTCCATCTCAAGGCAAATATTGTTGAAGAAACTGGACTGAGAAGAAATACAATGTGTGTTAGAAAGACAAGTAGATACTGGGTCTCCAAGTTAAATCTATTTTTACAAATAGCCTGTACCCAAGGCTCTTTATTTATGATACTGAAAAGCACACTGTTTGGAGAACTGTAATAACTTTAACTGCAGTTGTAAAGGATGGTAATATGTAGCATCATTTGCCTGCCATTATGTTATTTGTACTGTATAAATACAAAATTTCAGAATCAGATGTTTTATGGGGAATCATTACAATTCTGAAAATGTGACTGAACTTTCCCTAAATATATCAAAAACAGAATCACTTGTGAGTGTACATAATTGAAAACAAAGTTTATGATGCAGTAGCTGTCTACAAATATCAACAGAAATTTAAAAGAACTGTGTCAAAATTTGTATATTGTGCTCAGAAAGTAGCTCTACTGTATATGTCTGCTTTTCATGTACTGAGTGGTTCTCAGCCCATTTGCAGATGAATAAAATTGGTTGACAGGAAGGTCTTTGGGGTTTGAGACTGATGGGGTCGCCATATACAGCAATGCACGTTGTGCACTGAACAACTACAGGGGGACCCTTTTTCATTGAGAATGATGTGGGAGGCACCTGCTGGAGCTGCGTAGTGAACAACCCACACAACTGTCAGGAGTGAGCCATCACCCTGAGGGAGAAGCAGGTCTGCCTGTGCACCCCGGAAGAACACAGCCAAGAATGGAAACAAATTTCAAATCTTGAAAGAATTTCCTACCCATCAGAACCACCTTCAGTTCATTCTTTCTTTCTGTCACTTTTTAAACTCACAAGTTGTGAATTTCCCCCACGGAACCCTCAGAGGGGCTGCCAGGAGATTCCTGCATCCAATGAGTGAACATGGCTCCTCTGTCTGCTGCCACTCTGGGATCTGGGAGGTCACCAGCAAGCCAGAAAGTGTTTCTTGTGCTTCCTTGCTCCTGGGCACATCTTTCTTTGACTCCAGGGTTTCTGGGTTGGAACCCTGGCTGCCTCCTGATCAGCAACCAGGAGGGTTATGTTTCTGGCCAAGCTTGGATTTACATTTGAGAAAAGGCTCCTCCACCTCCTCCCTATCATAAGTGAAGGGTCCCTAACTCCAACCAGCAGAACATTAAATGGTGTCTTGAGAGCTGCCCGTGCTAATAACCTAGAACAATTCAATAAAATGTGCTCTTGTTTTAGGCCCAGCAAAAACAATTCACTTACAACAAATGACTTAGAACTGATAAATTTTTTTTTTTTTTCAAAAATAAAACAGAAATGAATAAGCAATGAATTGACATCTTTTGCTTTAAAAAATGTCCAATTAGATAGGGCTAGGCTCTGGGCCTCCCAACCTTCATAGAACAAAGAATATCTCTTTGGGAGTCCCCCAGTCTGGAGCTGGGTTAATTTAGCATTGGGGATTTCTTCGCTGATTCTTTCCTGCCTAACCAATATTTAATACTATCACACACTACAAATGATTGCAAGAATTCAAGTCTTTTTAGGAGAAAAGATCCTCAGGTAATTTAGACATTAGAAAACAAGACCTAAGAGAAAAATGTGATGGAATTAAGACTATTTCACCCGGAGAAGAAAAAGTCTGTGTGATGGTTCACTAATTCTGGCAAGTTTATTAAAAGTTATTTTACATAGGATACTGACCATCTGGTCTCCCTTTTCTGAGCAGAGAGAGGAAATGATTTTCAACTGCATTGAGAAGGATATAGGTTGGAAAATAAGGAAGAATTTCCAGATGATTAAGGTTATTAAATGTTGGTTGCAGAGAGAGGTTATAGCTTCACCTTTTTGAAAATAATTCAAGGGACGACAACCACTCGTCCATCCAGGCTGTTTTAGGATCAGTGTGAGCGGGAAGTAGGATAAGTGAAATTATCTCTTTGTAGTGCCTTCCAGCTCTATTTGTTGTGCTAAAAGTGCCTCTTGCAGGAGTTTACATAATTTACCGACTTTCAAACATTCTACTGTCTAACTTCTATGCACTCTTCTTACGGCCAGAAAGGGGGAGACATGAAGGTATAAACTTCCCAAGCAAAGATCTGGTTCTGGCCTTGCCTCTGTTGAAGGTGAATAACAGGACCTGCAACAGGTCACGGGGCTGTCTAAGCCCCAGGTTCCGATCCAGAACTCACCACAGGCACTGGCTGTGATTTTTATTCCTCCCACCTTTTTTTCCCTTTTATCGGGATATGAAAGCTGCTTCCCTAACTACAGGGAAGAGCGCATGGCTAAGGTTGGACAAGTCATGACACCCTGTTCCTCTGTCTACCATGATTGGTCCAGAAGTGGGCATGTAACTCAAGGTGCCAAGAAGAGCTCTTTCCCCAGAATGCTGTACCTGAAATTGTTTGCTCTCTTTCTGGAGGCAAGTCAGCCAGGGTGGGAGTCCATGGCTGCCTGAAGCCACGGCCCCATTACCTGGAGACAATTGTGAGCCTATAAACCCAAGAACCTGTGAGATGCTGGAAGGATAAAGGCACAAAAAGAACTCTCAGGCCTTCAAGTCAGCCCTCCAGCCAGCCCTCCCTTGCCAACCCTGCATATCCTTCAGTTTTATGAGTAGGTAGAATACTGTATTTCTTTTTTTCCTTAAGCTAATATGAGTTGGGTTTCTGTCATTTGCAACCAAAGGTCCTGATTAATATGGGATAGGAATGAGGTCCTAAGGTTGCAGGTGCTAGCAAGGACCAGGGCACAGGAATACAGAGGTAAGCTGTTCTGCATTAGAAAATGATGGCAATATCAACTTATGACTCAGGGGAAGAGAAGAGAGAAAGGGGGCAGGAAGAGGAGGGAGAAGAGGAGCTTGGAAGATGGCAGAAGGCAGGGTGCTGCCCTGCATGAACCAGCAGAGGAGCCATGAGGGCTCTGAAGATCAATAGCACAGAATGCATGATTTTAGAATGTTTGCTGCATGCTGTGCATGTGACTATTCCCCATGACCTGTCATCTTTCAGAAGAGCTCCGCTCCACGGAACCAGCTTGTAATCACAGTAGTTGGAAGGTAGATGATGAATCAAGGAAAACGGCCCAGGGTCACAGTTGTCCTCTCTGTACGGCAGAGATACAGAACAATCACAAGAGGCACAGCGTGTAGAACTTTGAGGCGGGACCCACTCCAGGCACCACAGAAATCAAAACCCCTTCCTTTGAGTCCTGCAAATGGCATGGCTTACGTACTCGTGAGGAAGTCAGACCCAAAGGGAGGGATTTGATTTCCATGGGGCCTGGAATGGGTACCTGAGTCACTGTACAGTAGATGCCATGAGACCTGGAGCTCTCAGAAGACATCTGAATTACAAAGTAAGTCTCATGATCAGACGAGACATTCAAATGCGGACCAGATCACCTCTTCGGGTGTTAGGGTTGCATCTACTCTCAGAAGGGGCTGTGTAGGCAAGTAGACAACACACTTTCCTTGATGAAATACTGCTGCGGAGTGATCCAGGATCTAGATATTAGAATCCATTTACAATGCTTAAGTCGGGCCCTTCCCGTTTTGCATGGGTGTTTTATAACCAGTGGATGTGCGGCCACAGGGAAAGGCTTTCCCCAAGTCTCTCTGGGAGCTCATCGGGAGTCAGGGATCCAACAGGGATTGTGAACAAGACAGCATCAGTAAAGCAGACACAATTATTGCACTTAAGTTGTGGGATGGAAGGAAGTAGCTTGCAGAAGGGAATTGATCTGGACTAGAATTACTCAGAGCACCGTTTTAAGAAAGAAGCTACCTTTTTAACATGCCAAGCTTATTCTGAAACTCCTTTACCATTACATTTTAACAAAAGAGATTCAGTGTGGGAGAAACTAAACTTCCATTAAGTCTCCCAAACACTCCCGATCCATATTTACTAATAATGATGATTTCCAAAAGCTCATTTCTGCAATCAAGAGCAGGCGGCACAGCAGGCCAGATGCTGTGCATGGAGCGATCTCCATGAATAATTGCCTGTCTGCATGGCTTCTTAAAGAGAAACAGCCAGCTTACCAGATGATGCCTGGGCTTGTTGTTTAACCTGAACACAGAAAGCAGAAAACCAGGCTCGAGAAAAAATGCTTTTAGACTTTCAAGTTGACATGAAACTTGGGAGCCTTAACCTCTCTACAGATGAGTTTAAATGGATCAATGGACACCCTAAAACTTTGCATCAGACATTTTTGTATGTCTTTTCTATGTGCTTTTTTTCTAGGAAGAGGATGCATTGGGGAATATGACCCCTCGAATATTTAACTACCGCTAAATACATGTTCTTTCACTAGCACTGTGTGATAGAACTTTCTAGAATGATGAAAATACTCTATATCTGCATTGTTTAAAATGGTAGTCGTTAGCTAAATGTGGCTATTGAGCTTATGAAAGGTGACCAGTACAACTGATGAACCAAATTTTATTTTATTCATTTTAATTAATTTACATTTTAAAAGGCAAAACTATAGGGATAAAGAGTAGATTGAGTGGCTGCCAGGAGTTGGGGGTTGACAGAAGGCTGACTACAAAGGAATGGGGTAATATTTTGGTGGGATAGAACTTTTCTGCATCTCTATTATGGTGCTGGGGACCTGACTCCACGTATGTGTCAGAGTCAGTGGAAATGTACACCAAGAAGAGTGAATATTCTAATCTGAAAATTGAACATTTAAAATGTTTTTCAGACAGGGTCTCACTATGCTGGCCAGGCTGGTCTTGAATTTCTGAGCTTAAGCAATACTCCCACCTCAGCCTCCCTAGTAGCTAGGATTACAAGCACGTGTCACCACGCCTGGCTGAAAGATACATTTTAAAAGATTTAGGAGGCTACATGTGGTTAGTGGCTTCTGTACTGGATACGCAGCTCAAGACCATCACTTTAAAAGACCTACATGTATATGCACCAGCAGTGATTTAACTGGACTTTCCTGATTATCAGATTCATTAGGTTAGAAACTGTTCCCCAAACCATCACCTTAACAAATGCATTCCTAACACACTAACAAGTGCAACACACTAAGTGGAGGATGTTGACTCTCTACCCATTCCCTGCATCCCTATTAAGTCCAGTGCTCCTTGGCTACTGTAAAGTCAGGCACAGCAATCTCATGAGAAGTCTAATGCCAGCATCCCAAATTCCAAATTCCAATCTTGGGACCAAGCTGCTGCCTTTGCACTGTCCAGAGACTCCTCCAGGTAGCCGGACAGGCAAGGAGGCCTGAGTGTGCAAGGGGGATCCCCACTAAGAAGCAACCCAGCCTCAGAGGCTCATGTTAACCCTTTCAAACACAAGTCCAAGCCTTTTCCTTATGACCCTTTATTAGTTTCCTAGGGCTTCCTTAACAAAGTTCTGCAAACTGGGTGGCTTCAAACAACAAAAATGGATTCTCTCATGGTTCTGGAGGCCAGAAGTCTGAAAGCGAGAGGCCAGCAGGTTGGTTCCTTCTTGGCAACTCAGAGGGAGAATCTGTTCTACACCATCCTTCTAGCTTCTGGTGGTTGCTGGCAGTCCTTGGCATTCCTTGGCTTGTGGCCGCATCCCTTCTACTTCTGCCTTTGTCTTCACGTGGCCTTCTCCTCTCTGTGTCTCTCTGAGTATCTGCCTCCAAGTTTCCCTCTTCTTATTAGGACACCAGTCATTGGGTCATTGGGTTAGGGGAGGGGTCCCCAACCCCTGGGCTCCATGGGCCAGTATCGGTCTGTGGCCTGTTAGAAACCAGGCCACACAGCAGGAGGTGAGTGGTGGGCAAGTGAGCAAAACTTCATCTGTATTTATAGCTGCTCTCTATCGCTCACATTACTACCTGAGCTCTGCCTTGTGTCAGATCAACAGCAGCATTAGATTCTCATAGGAGCTCGAACCCTATTGCAAACTGTGCATGTGAGGAATCTAGGCGGCGCACTCCTTATGAGAATCTAATGCCTGATGACCTGTCACTGCCTCCCATCACCCCAGATGGGACCATCTAGTTGCAGGAACACAAGCTCAGGGCTCCCACTGATTCTACGTTACGGCGAGTTGTATAATTATTTCATTATGTATTACAATGTGATAATAACAGAAATAAAGTGCATAATAAATGCAATACACTTGAATCATCCCAAAACCATCCCCCTCGCCCCCATTTCATGGAAAGATTATCTTCCAAGACACTGGTCCCTGGTGCCGAAATGCTGGAGACCAGTGAGTTAAGGCCTGTCCTAGCCCAGTGTGATCTCATCTTAATGAGATCTGCAAAGGTCCTATTTCTAAAATAAGGTCATAGGGACCGGCACTGGGATTGTAACTTGAACATATCTCTTTGGGGGCCACAATTCAAACCACAAGAGACTCCAACCATCAATGGGGCAGAATCTTTTCCCCTAGGGTGGGGCAAACAAGACCAGGTGTGGCTTCATCTCTGACAACCTTTAATCTCATTTGTGTATGTGTGCGTGTGTGTGTGTGTGTTTTCCTTTGCAGTATTTTGTTGTTGTTTATTGTTTTGTTTTTTTGAGATGGAGTTTCGCTCTTGTTGCCCAGGCTGGAGTGTAATGGCGCCATCTTGGCTCTCCACAACCTCTGCCCTCCAGGTTCAAGCGCTTCTCCTGCCTCAGCCATTGAGTAGCTGGGATTACAGGCATGTGCTGCCATGCCCAGATAATTTTGTATCTTTAGTAGATGGGATTTCTTCATGTTCGTCAGGCTGGTCTCAAACTCCTGACCTCAGGTGATCTACCTGCCTCGGCCTTCCAAAGCTCCAGGATTACAGGCATGAGCCACAGCGCCCAGCTCCTTTGCAGCGTTTTTACCAATGTGAGCGTCCTATCATAGCAACAGGACTGGGATGTGGCCAGTGTCCACCTTCACTGAGTCTTTACCTTTTAGGAGGGACGAGGGTGTCTGTCACATCTGTGGCCCTTGAGTTTGTTGGCAGAACACTGAGCATGTGGAAACGTGACACACTGGAGGAAGAGAAACTGGATTTGATTCTCATTACAGGTTATATTAAAGGAGCAACTTAGGTTTTTGAGTCTTTTTTTTTTGAGACGGAGTTTCACTCTTGTGACCCAGGCTGGAGTGCAGTGACGTGATCTCGGCTCACTGCAACCTCCGCCTCCTGGGTTCAAGCAATTCTCCTGCCTCAGCCTCCCAAGTAGCTGGGACTACAGGTGTGCACCACTAATTTTTGTATTTTTAGTAGTGATGGTGTTTTACCATGTTGACCAGGATGGTCTCAATCTCTTGACCTCATGATCCACCCGCCTCGGCTTCCCAAACTGCTGGGATTATAGGCGTGAGCCACCGTGCCCGGCCTGGTTTTTGAGTCTTAATGTCCTCATTAGTCACATGTAAATGTCACGCCTCCTTCTCTGGGTTGTTTTGCTCATTAAATAATCTACATACGGAGCTCTGAGTAGCAAATTGACCAATGTTACTTTCTGAATCCATCCCTTTCTGACTTTTTACTCTTTCTACACACAAAGGGGACTCATAATATAAAAATAATTTCTATTTAATATAAAAATGCAGACAAGTAAGAAGAATAAATTAAAGTATCTGTAATTCCCTCACGCAAAGATAATTATTTAAATTTAGGCATGTTTCCTTAGTCTTTTTAAACGCACATATTTACACACACTATTTCTGCAAAATTGCTTTCATTCTGTACATATTTGTTTTGTAGCCACATTCCCTTCACAAGATCGTACATTTTCACATTTAATTAAATGGTCTTCTAAAGCATGGTTTATATTGGCTGCAGTGTGATTTATCATGCATATAACACAATTTCTTCAATGAGAACCCTCTCATCTGCTGTTTTGCCTGTTCCCAATTTTTCACGATTTTAAACAATGTGGTAAGACACATTCTCACAGATACAACCTTGTGCATCTCCCTGATTATTCCTTTCAGAAAAGTTACAGGAAGTACAATTATTCAACTCCATTTTTTGTTTTGTTTGTTTTGTTTTTTTGAGACAGAGTCTCACTCTGTTGCCCAGGCTGGAGTGCAATGGCACAATCTCAGCTCACTGCAACCTCCGCCTCCCAGGTTCAAGTGATTCTCCTGCCTCAGCCTCCCCTGAGCAGCTGGGACTACAGGTACCCACCAGCAAACTCAGCTGATTTTTGCATTTTTAGTAGAGATGGGGTTTCACCATGTTGGCCAGGCTGGTCTCGAACTCCTGACCTTGTGATCCACCTGCCTCGGCCTCCTTATGTGCTGGGAATACAGGCGTAAGCCACCATGTCCAGCCTTAACTCAGTTTTTTTGAACTGAGCTTTTTATAACTTGGCTTTCTCTCCTTCCCTCCTCCTCTTCGTCTCCACTGAAAACCTTCCCTGTTTATTTCACAGAAGGCACCAAAGCTGTCAGAAGCGGATTTTTTTTATCCCTTTTGACTGAGTAACCCCACAACCTACCTTCCTCTGGACCTCACACATTGTTCGGCCTCTGGCCTTGCACCAGGGCAACCCTTCCACCTGGGTCCCAGGTCCCCACCTCTCTTGCCTCTTCCAGGAGGCACCTCCTCCAGTTCTCCCCTTCCTCCCCTGCATCTTCAGTGTTTTTTCCTCTGTTGGATCTGGAGGGTCCCCAGCACCACGCAAATGTACCATTTATCTCCCAAATTCCTTCCCTGGTGTTGCCATGGCAAAACACCACACACCTAGTGGCTTCAAACAGCATAAACAACATTCATTACCTTACAGTTATACATTATTGTATGTATTATACATACATTACCTTACAGGAGGTCAGAGGTCCCAAATGGGTTTTACTGGGGTAGAATCAAGGCAAGGCAGGGCTGCACGCCTTCTGGAGGCTCCAGGAAGAAGCTGTCTCCCAGTCACTTGCACCTCCACAGGCTGCCCGCATTGCCATCACCTCTACACAGCCTCTGGCTCATGACCACATCTCAAAGCCAACAGTGGATCACCTTCTAGTCTCTCTCCGACTCTGACTTTTCTGCCTCTCTTGTTAAGGTTCTTGAAATTACCTTGTACTCACCTGGATTATCCAGGACACATCCCCATCACAAGATCCTGAACTTCATCCCATGGGCAATGACCTTTTTTGCCATGTAAGCTAACAGACAGGCCCTGGGGATTCAGATTTGAACATTTTTGGAGGGCCAGTATCCTGCCGATCAATCCTGCTTCCCTTCTCTCTGTGCCCACGCTGGTGGTGGACTTCTATAACACCAGAGTCCTGCACTTGCTGAGGTCACCAGTGATCTCCACGGTGCCACACTCAACAGGCAAGCCTTGAACCTGCTGTGACCCGACATCTGCTACACTGGATCAGCTGGTCATTATCTTCTCCATGAAACTCTTTAGCACTGGGGATGCCAGAATTCTCTGGTTTCCCCTTTACTCATGGCTGTTCCTTCTCAGTCCCTCTAACTCCCCCTCCCCTGCCTCTTGACCATTAAACAAGTATCCCAGGACATACTTCTTCATCTGCATGACTCCCTGGATGACCTCATCTGGTTCTAAGACATCACATATTTACTGAGGACACCGAAATCCATCTTCCCAGTCTCAACCTCTCCTCTGAGCTTCCAGACTCATTGGCACAATTGCCCATTTGACATCTGCCCTTGGATTCTACTAGGCCTCTCTAATTTGATGTAACCAATGCTGAATCTAAGGTTCCTCTACCTCCACCTGCTCAGCGTGCTATTCACACCTCTGTTAAAGGTGCAGCATACCCAGATGCTCAGACAAAAAGTACGAATTCATCTTACTCTGCTCTTTCTCTCTAAGCCAGCTCCATTAGCAGGTCTTGAAGGTACATCCCTAGCCTGACGTCTTCCACCGCTGCAGTTCTCCCACTGTCCGCTCTTTCCTGGGCTACTGGAGGCACCTCCCGGTTAGCTGGATTACCAGCCTCCCTGCTTCCAGTCCTGCTCCACAGTCTTTTTCCCATACAGAAGCCAGAATAATCTTTAACTTTTAAAATCATATCGTGTCATGCCTGTGCTCAAAACCCCCCAAAGGGAGCATGTGTGAAGTAGGGACAGTGGCTCGTGGGTTTCAGGCAGGGATTAAAGGATTTTATGAATGAACAATGAATGTATAGAGGATTCAGTGCAGCATTAGTCCTGGCGGGGCACTGGGAGTGTTGCAGGAAGGAAGCTGGAAACTAGGTGGTGCCAGCTCAAGACTAAAACAGATAAAGACTTAGGAGGCTCCCAGCAATGGGCCAGGCAGTGACTCAGAGCCCTGGCTGCACATTAGAAATAGCCCACGATAGTTCTGACAATACTGATGGCCTGGGACCTCCGCAGATTCTTTAAGCCAGAATCTGTTTCTGGGTATCAGTACAGATGGTGCACACCTGTAATCCCAGCTGCTCACGAGGCTGTGGCAGGAAGACAGCTTGAGCCCAGGAGTTCAAGGCCGTTGTGTGCTACGACCATGCCTGTGAACAGCCACTGCACTCCAGCATGGGCAACACAGTGAAACCCCGCCTCAACAAGCAAAGCCAAAAACAACGCTTCACGTGACGGTATAATGAAAATCGAGAGGATGTGGATGAGGGGAGTAAAAGGAAAAGATGGAGATGGTGGATGTGGAAAGACAAGCAGCTGAGGGGCCCTGGTGTCAGAAGTCATTTACGTGGACACTGAGGTCTCCGTGAAGCTGCAGGGCAGATAAATCCAGTTCTAATTACAGACTCCTTCTTGAACTGACCTCCTGGGCATTTTGTAGAGATAAGGTGGGCAGGTTGTGGTGGCAGCTGAGAGTATGGTCTTACCAGGGGCACATGGGCCTCCTAGGGTCTCCCTCAAATTCTTCTGGGGGCAGTCCAGCGGCCCAGCAGTGGGGTGATCTAAACTGGATCATCTGAGCTCTGGAGCCTTTTTTATGTCTGTGTTAGACAGAACAATGTACCCTCCTCACCCAATGGTGTCCACATCTAAACCTCACATATGGTGAATATGTTATGTGGCAAGGGGGAACTGCAGTTGTAAATTACATGAAGGTGGCTCAGATAGTTTGGATGTTTATCCCTTCCAAATCGCATTAAAATGTGATCCCCAGAGTTGAAGATGGGCCCAGTAGGAGGTGTTTGGGTCATGGGGACAGATCCCTCATAAATGGCTTGGTGCTGAGTGAGTTCTTACTCCATTAGTTCACGCAAGAGCTGGTTGTTTAAAAGAGCATCATGGCACCCCTCCCTCCCTTCTTGCTCCTTTTCTCACTATGTGATACGCCTGCTCCTTCACCTTCCACCATGACTGGAAGCTTTCTGAGGTCCTCATCAGAAGCAGATGTAGGCACCATGCTCCTTACACAGGCTACAGAACCGTGAGCCAGATGAACCTCTTTTCTTTATAATAGACCTAACCTCAGGTGTGTATTTATAGCCACACAAAATGGAATAACGCAGTTGCTAATCAGCTGATTTAAAAAATGAGATTTTCCTGGATTATCCAGGGGGGCCCGATGTAGTCACAAGTGTACTGGGTTAAATAGTGTCCCCCTAGAATGCATGCCCACTGGAGCTTCAGAATGTGACCCTATGTGGAAATAAGTTCTTTGGAAACATAATTAGTTAAAATAAGATAAGGTAACGTGCATTAGGGTGGGCCCTAATCCAGTGACTGCTGTCCTTATCAGAAGAGAAAACAAGAGACACAGACACATAGAGAGAGAATGGGACAATAGAGGCAGAGATTGCATTTTGCTGCTAGAAGCCAAGGATTGCCGAAAGCCACCAGAAGCTAGAAGAAGGCCACCTAAGCCTCTCCCCTGCTGACACTTAGATTTCAGGATTCCAGCCTCCCGAGCTATGAGCGAATAAGCTTGTAAGCCACTCAGTTTGTGGTACTTTTTTTTTTTTTTTTTTCCCTCAGACAGAGTCTTGCTCTTATCACCCAGACTGAAGTGCAGTGGTGCGATCTTGGCTCACTGCAACCTCTGCCTCCCAGGTTCATGTGATTCTCCTGCCTCAACCTCCCAAATAGCTGGAATTGTAGGCATGCACCACCACGCCCGGCTAATTTTTGTATTTTTAGTAGAGACGGGGTTTTGCCATGTTGGCCAGGCTGGTCTCAAACTCCTGACCTCCAGTGATCCACCAGCCTCGGCCTCCCAAAGTGCCGGGATTACAGGCGGGAGCCCCCGCACCCGGCCAGTTTGTGTTGCTTTATTAGTGTGGCTGGCTTTAGAAACTGAAAGGGTCCCTATGTGTGGAAGAGGGTGGTAGAATAGTCATGGGCAGGATGATGGGATGCGACAAAGACCCAGCTGAGCGCTCTAGCTTTGGAAATGGGAGGAGGGAGGGCCCAAGAGTCACGCAATGCAAGGAGCTCCTAGAAACAGAAATAGGGAAAAGGGAAGAGGGCAGATGCTCCCTAGAACGTGCAGAAGAAATGCAATCTTGCCAACACCTTGATTTCTGCCTATTGAGACCCATTTTGGACTTCTGTCTTACAAAACTGTCAGACATTACACTTGTGCTGTTTTAAGCCACTAATTTTGTAGTAGTTTGTAATGACAGTACAGGTATTGATCGACTTACGACCTATGCAACTTACGACCATTTGACTTTACGACCACAATCGCTAGCCACGACTGCTCCGCGTCTGGCAGCGCAAACGTTGCCCAGCTGGGCGTTCGACAGTGCGGACCAGCTTCCGGCAGCACTACCATCTCCGTGTGCATATAGCCTACTCAACTTATGACCAAATCGTGTTACGACCGGTCTGTCGGAACCAATCGTGGTCGTCAGTCGAGCACTAGCTGTAGTGGAAAACTAACACAATATCAAAAAGAAAATTTACCTTATTCTATCAATTTTTAGGTTAACTTGGCTATTTTATTTAACATTGTTTTTTAGAAAGCCAACCCTCTTATATTTTCTATGTTCTTATCCTTTCCTATCATGCTTAGAGCTCCTCACCACAAAGCTTAGATAAATGCTGGGTTTTCTTAGTTTTTTCTGATTTCAGTTTTTACATTTAATTTTATAATTCAGTAGCGCTTAACATTCATGTCTTTTTTTTTTTTTTTTTTTTTTTTTTTTTTTTTTTTTTTTTTTTTTTTTTTTTTTTTTTGAGACAGAGTCTTGTACTGTTGCCTGGGCTGCAGTGCAGTAGTGCAATCTTGGCTCACTGCAACTTCTGCCTCCCAGGTTCATGCTATTTTCCTGTCTCAGCCTCCCAAGCAGCTGGTATTACAGGTGTACCCCACCACACCTGGCTAGTTTTTTGTATTTTTAGTAGAGGCATAGTTTTTAGTAGAGGCATAGTTTCACTGTGTTGGCCAGACTGATCTCAAACTCCTGACCTTGTGCTCTGCCCACCTCGGCCTCCCAAAGTGCCAGCCAATATTCACTTCTTGTTGCAGATACTTTGCGAATCTGATGAAAACCACAGATGCCCCACATACAGAACAGACACATACATGTATAATCTGTCCACTAATATCCGGTGGGGGAGGACGATGACAAATTGTAAGATGCCAAGTTGTATGCAGATGTCAATCAAAGTGGGGAGAAATGTTCTACTGGGGTGAGAAGAGGGGATTTCAGTCAGCTGTCATGGGGGTGGGACATTTGACAGGAACCTTGAAGGATGGAAGGACTCTGGTGGCCACAGGTGGGGAGGCGCTCCCCAAGAAGAGAAAGAGATGAGCCAAGGCAGGAAGGGTATGTATATCCCACCTGCTGTGACTGGGCCAGGGTACCTGAAGGCAGCCTGCGGAGGTAAAGGGGGTCTCACTCACCTGTTTCTGATCTGACCAGCCCAACACATGGATGACCAAGAAGACATTATTCTGCAAAAGAGTCAAGAGAGACGCTGGGCCCTGAGGAATGTGAAGAAATTTGAAGAAAAGAGCTCAGGAAGATAAGCACTGAGTGTTGATATTGGAGAGGTGGAGAAAATGGCCTGATGCAATGAAGTGTTAAAGGAAGAGCAACACCTTGCTTGGAATGCTTTCTTTCCCAAGCTCCATATGGATACATACAGTCACCTGTAGGAAAAAAAAATGGGAAGGTATTATTTCTAACAACCCTATTTTACAGTTAATGATTCAGACGAAGGCACGGAGAGAGGTTAAACAATTTGTCTAAGGCCAACGATTTGTAGAATTACATTCCCACAGAGTAACGGGGGAGAGTAGCAGTATATTTAACACCAGCATTGATAGAATTTATAAATGCATGGACTTTGGGGAAGCTTTAAGGATTCTTCAAAGTGATTCATTTGTTCATGTGACAAATAAAAACACTGAGATTCAGGAGGTGTAAGTCACTCATTTAAGACCACAAAACGATTTGAATTAGACTCAGTCCCAATTCTCAGGAATTCTTAGCACTCCAAAGGGCGTGTTACCCTAAGCAGCTATGGCAAAGTTTTGCCAGTGACATAGTAGGATTTGGTGCTGAATCCTGCTATGGGTTCAGACCGGCTTTATAAGCAGCCCAACAGACCATATGCTCTGACTGGTGAGCAAACCATTTCCTTTTGTGTACTCCACTGAGACTCAGGAAAATTTTAATGTGGTCCATTCCTGGGAAATATGACATCTAATTACCATCTTCACATAATGATGTCTTGTGGCTGGGGACCCTCTCTATGTGTCACACAGGCCTGTTGTGATTCCAGCTCAGTCTGCTGTCCAGCCTCATCTCCCTTCACTCTGAACCACATGCTCGAGACCCAGCATGACCCAGGGCCTTTGCACATGCTGTGGTGTGTTCCCTGGTCCCTGATTTCCCCTGCCCTGCCAGTGAAATCCTACTTCTTCAAGATTCATCGTTTAAAAACCCATCTTCTACACCCATGTTCATAGCAGCACCACAAGAGGTGGAAAGAACTCAAGTGTCCATCAACAGATAAATGATACATACAATGTGGTTTATCCATGCGATGGAATTCAGCTGTAGAAAGGAAGGAAATGCTGATGGTTGCTACAGCACAAATGAACCCTGAAGACATGATGCTAAATGAAATAAGCCACTCCCAACAGGACAAATCCTGTGTGATTCCACTGATACGAAGTCCCTAGAGGAGTCAGATTCGTAAAGGCAGAAAGCAGAATGGTGATTGCCAGGGGCTGGAGGGAGGGGTAATGTTGTTTAATGGGCATAGAATTGCAGTTTTCCAAGATGAAAAAGTTCTGGAGATTGACTGCATCACAACGTGAATACACTTAATGGTAATGGAATGTGCACTTAAAATAGTACATTTTGGAGGGTCGGGGGCAGCTGAGTCTCCCACAGACACTACCCGCTCCCGAGCTAAAAAAAAAAAAAAAAAAAAAAAAAAAAAAAAAAAAAAAAAATATTTATTTTATTTTATTTAAAATAAAAAAAAAAAAAAAAAAATAAAAAAAAAAAAAAAAAAAACAAAAAAAAAAAAAAAAAAAAAAAACAAAAAAAAAAAAAAAAAAAAAAAAAAAAAAAAAAAAAAAAAAAAAAAAAAAAAGGTACATTTTGTTAAGTGTATTTTACCACCATTTTTAAAAAACCATTTTTAAAAACTCTATCCTTTACAAAGGCTTTCTTGAGTCCCCACGAGGAGTGAGCTATACTACGCTTTGGTGTCTGACTACAGTGCACTGGGCACACTGACCATGGGTACCGGGTAACTACTGACTGAGGCGCTTCCTTCTGCAAACACAGGGCCCTTAAGGGAGCATGGGCTGACTCTCACTAGTCTCTCTAGCCACACACCCTGGCATGGCTCCTGGTTTATGGCACCACACCTTTGCTTACCAATGAGGACTCTAAGTAGGATGTTACCATAAGACATCCAGCCTTCCCCAGCTCTTTGATATAATCACAGATCCATGAAGACACCACCTGATGCCTCTATAACTGACAGGTCATTCATAAAGAATTGGCTTGATATATTAAATACTTTCCCCTAGAAAAATGGAGACGAATACGAAAACATTGAGCATCCTGAAGCAATCGCATGATTTACGGGGACATTAACGAGAGTTGCGCCCTGCCCAGCTCAACTTTGCATTGTCGGCATCTAATTCCCTCCATAGCCTTTCTCCCCTTATCGGGATCTGCAACCCACGACCCTATAAATATTGCGGTGGCATATGACCAGGGGTGTCAGAGATGTCACCTGTGGTGATAAAAGTGTCTAAGAGGCTTCAGGATGTGTCACGGTGAAGGATGGACTGGAGACAGGATGGCAAGTAGTAATTACAGGGCTGAGGTTTGGGATACAGGAGCAGAGGCAGCCTTGGAGGGCAGGAGGAAGGAAGAGGCTGAAGAGCTGCTGAGGTCAGGCCTCGTCCCTGGGCCTTCCTCCTCCTCTGGAACGTCTGGCAGCTGTTTGCTGTTCTCAGTGCTTATGCTTCGGGCCTGGTATTGAGGATGTCATTGACTCTCAGCCCAAGCCCTTGTACATGTTCATAGTTCCCTAACCCTATGCCACATCCCTCCCACCTCCATGGTTGACTCTCTGGCCTTGGCTTGGGATATTAAGAGGGGCAA